GTTTTTAACATTGTGAAATTTTGGGTTGTACATTTTTGTTTGTCCATCACCGTATATATGACTCCCTTCACCCCTTGTGCCCACCCCCCACCCCCGTTGCCCCCTGGTAACCACAATACAGTTTTCTCTGTCCATGTGTTGGTTTATATTCCACACATGAGTGAGATCATATAGCGTTTGTCTTTCTCCTTCTGGCTTATTTCACTTAACATAATACCCTCCAGGCCCATCCATGTTGTTGCAAATGGGACGATTTTGTCTTTAAGATTTTATTTTTAATATTAAGAGAAGTAGGAGCCACTGAAGGTTTTTTAAGGAGGGAAATGATATGATCAGATTAGCTTCTAGGGTTCTCTTTAGCATCCTCACAGCGTTCCTTAGGTGCCCAATTTCTCCCTACGGCCCACATCAATGAAGTTCTCTAACAATCCCAGAAAACTGATGAGGGCATGAGACCTGTTGTGACAAGAACCTGGAGAAATGGAAATGGATGAAGAGACTATTTTTTCAGTTGAGTTTAGACCCTCACGACTGGACCACACGGTAGCTCTCGTTGGTTTTCCTAGGTTGGGCACTTTCGTCTCCTGCCAGATTAATCTTTTCAAGCAGTTGATCACATCATGTCCCCATCTGGAAGCCTTCACCAGCTCCCTAGTGCTAGAACCACAGAGCTCCTTAACTGAGCAACCCAGGCCCTCCGTGGAATGGTCCCTGTCAATCTTCCCTCTGCTGTTATCTATGCTTTTTGCACAATGGGACTTCCCAAACCGGTTCCACAGAATGCCAGTTTAGAGATGTTAACAGGTATTCTGTAAAAAAATAGTGTGGGGGAGTTTCACTAGTCAAATAAATTGGTAAAGCAAACCCAGCACATAATAACATTCTCTCCTTGAGACTCCTTATGTAGTTAACTTCACTAAAGGCTCTGAGAAGTCCTGCAAAATTTTGTATGACCTAGCATTTCTATAGCAATTAATGTCAAATTCTTTTCTGTACATAACAAATGTGATCACCTTGTTGAACAGTTTGGCAAAGGCTGTTCTAGCTAAACCCTTCACTTTTGCCAGGTTGGTCTGTTTAACCCCAAATGTGCCCTTTACTTTCCTTATGCTGTTCCCCTCTTTTAGAAAACTCTTCATGATCCTTTCTATCCATCCAAGCTCATCCAACTCCAATGTCACCTCCCTCATGAAGCCCGCCCTGATAACCCTAGATTGATATTGCTCTTTTCCTAACTTTTAAAGCACTTTTTAGCTGGACCATTTGGTATTTATTTACTGCCTCACGTTGTTCTTTTCTACCATTTATGTTTACAGTCTTAATCTTCCCATCTTTATAGTTACAAAGTTAGCTTATAAATCTCTTGAAGGGATTGATGGTCTACTTGTTACATAGAAAGGCAGAATTATGAAAGAACATGAGCTTTCAACTAAAACAGTTATTCTAGTCACATATCAGCTAACCAGCTGCATGACTTTGGGCAAGTCACCCTGCTTCAGTGAGCCTCAGTTTTCTCATCTGTGAAAGAGGAACAATAAACTACCTACCTGTTGGAGGTGTCATGAAGATTAAAGGAGACCATGAACCATATCTGACATATTGCAATCAATCAATACATGTCTGCTATTATTATTATTATCATTCTGTTACTACTACTACAAAAACATCTCCCTTTTTTGGTTATGGTGACGGTACGTGTCCAATAATATAGGACATCAACATTTCTGAATATTCTGATATTTTGGCCTCCAAAGAGGCTGCCTCTCTCTTTGCAAAGGCAGAGAGAGCCACGTTAGATGTACCCATTGCCTAGCAAGGAATGGTCTGTGTCCCAGAGTCGGAGGGCCTGAGGAGGTAACAGCCATGCTCCCTGGATTTCCTGGTCCACCCAGATCTTAATAGTAAATCCCATCACTGAACAAGGAATTAGTCCAATGCATCTGATTTCTGGTTCAATGTGAATGCCTCTCATTGTGCGATGAGGTGGTTGGTCCCTGCTTGTGGCTGACTTGCCTGCCTGGTCTACATGG